TGCTGACTTGAACTCTGGCGCGGTTGTGCACGCTCTGACGCCGAAGTCGGCAATCACTCTCGGGCATCTCGGGGATGTTGAATCCACCTCGATCTCACACTGAGTAAGCGTGAAGCAGTTGAAAACCTGATCCTTCGTCTCAATATACTCTAGCTGAGCTGTAGTACCTCCCAAAATATCCAGACTCCGGGAAATTAGCTAGCCGATGAGAGTGTCCTCAAATTGGGGACCACCATTGTTACCATGGCGCGCTACCTTGTGCAGAGAGAACAAGCATATATTGAGAGTGCCGTCGTTCACATGCCTATGAGGAGAAGTCCGACACTAATTCAACCTTCTCTACTTCCCGAGTTGGCTCTCATTCCTACATACTCCACTTGGAGATCCGAAATTTGCGCGAGTACAGCGCTTAGTCATGGTCCAAATTCTGAGAGACACAGGCGTTGATCGGCGGAGAGAGCATCGTGAGGCGCCATGAAATCATTTTGATGCAAATGCACAATTCAGCCAGTGTGGAGATGCCAAAGGTACTTACAGCTGGGGGAGCGCAAATGCAAACGTAGAGGGAGGGTTCAGAAGTACAAGTGCGAGAGTGGTCTGGATTTCAAACATCATCGTGGGGAGGGAAGCACACTGAACAGGATGATATCGTGGGGACAATGCTCAGAAAACTTGGCATTGGGCACACTCTTGACGATATATTCACAAGAACAATCCCCCTCATCTGCGGGGCCGTTGTTGGAACGCTGCGAGAGACGTCCAGATGATATTTCCAAAGTCGGGTGAAAACTCTGCGCTCTTGTCTTGCTCCCTCTCTTAGCTTCGATGGTATACTCGCATTGCCAGATTGCTCTAATCCCGGAAGTTTGTCTGACTGTCGCGCTGCTCTTATGTTGAGGGACGGGCTTGGAGATCCGCTTGAGCGGCCCAAAATCCATCTCTTCTCTGCGTGTCAGCTCGGCGTTAGGGGAAAGGAAAAGTCAAGTTTCCGCTGGACAGCATCGGGCTCTTCTCGCCATAACTAATTGTTGGCCTGCAGAAACTCGTACTTTCAGTTTAGGAGCTGGGCTCGAAATTTACAGAAGACCACGCACTCGGATGTCTCGTTGGCAAATGCAATGGTGGACGAGGGATCGATCACTTCGTCCATCGCAGCGAAATCGAAACTGCTCTCACGCTGGTGGAGCTGGAGCTTTCTCGAGTGCACATGAATCGTTCTCGCAGTCTGAGGCAGCGGATTCTCGTGGGATGAGATGCAAGGGCAGACTATTCGCTAGACAACATCTGTGTCTTCTCGCTGCGAAATCTAAATAATCGGTGGGCTCCCGTGACTTGTGATACCAGCTCAAACCCGTCAATGTCCGGAAGGACCGCTTCCCGTTGTGATTTTTCTTCCGACTCCTAATAGTACCGCCCCTCGTGATCTCTGATCCCCGCTCACCGCATTATTGCGGAATTCCGACATGTCCAGCCATTTCGCACCACTCAGTATCACGGCACCCTATCGAGTATATACCCCTGTCCGCCGTCTGCGTCAGGCTGTCCGTCCACCACCGCACCTGTTTAAATCTGGGTACATCTAGTCCCCGGCATTCCTTCGTCGCTCCGAGGCCGTTGCAGGGCCGTGATACTTTTGGTCTTCGTATTCCTCACTCAGGTTGAGATAGCGTGGAGGGAAACAATTTATTGAAGGACCTCGATTGCAACCCAGTGTTGATTGAGATCATGTCATTTATTCGGAGAGAAACTCTGCCGATTCAAAGCCCAGGTCAGGTTTGAACCTTGCGGGATCACCGACCCCAATTCGTTGTGGTTGAGTTAGAAGCTCCACCACCTTTGAAGCTAATTTTACCGTGTACTGAGCCCACGTCCAGTCAAAGTCTTCGATTACTTTAAGACACTCACCAAATTTATGCATTCGTCGGAGTTGTTAAAGAGAAATACCCTCTTCGGGCAGTTCAACCATTTGTGACGAACTTTGCAAAGTTGAAATGTGCCACAAGACATATCACACCTAGTGCACATCGCCAAACCGGTGAATATTCGGCTTGACTTTGGGGATTTGGTCCAGTGGTTCGTTGGAAATTCACTATTCGGCCGATCATTGAGATTGCAACTTGTGAAATTGGGTTCAAGTTTTTTTGAATGCAAACATTGTATTAGGCTTAGGCAAAGCTAACAATGCTTGCTCAGAGCTTATTGAATGTCCGTTGAAGTGTTATAAGCTGCCCGGCATTTTACCCCCTCACGACCCCTCAATAGCACAGCCACCACCCCTCAATTCCCTGCAGTGCCGCCTCAAATCCCCGCAGCACCGGCACTTTCACCCAGCCCGTTTTGTCAGGCTACACCCTGTGAATTTCAACACCCCATTCACGATGTCTGTTCCGTCATAATTGGGTATTTTTTCCCTTGGGGATTTCACGACAATCCGTCGTGAAAATACATCGTGAATTGTGGCCGCAATTCTCCTTAAGCAATAGCCGAGGCCTGCCCTAAACCATGATGTCACAGCTCCACTCCGGGCATAAGTGACCGAACCCAACTCCCACGTCTCTCAGACTCGAACCACCACCACCCACCATTAACTCCGACCCACCACGCTATGGAACACCCGCCTTCGTTGACATCGAGGAGGGTGGTGACCTGGAGGCCTCCGTCACCGCCGTCCTCGCTATCGCTGCCCTGGATTGCCAACTCAAGCTGTTCTATTTGAATTCACGACTTACACACCGTGACGTTGCCGTCTCGAAACGGCTCATCGGGGAGGGCTGCGTGCTGGTAGGGCTGCGTCGACAAGGAGGGCTGCGAGCGGATCATGGGTAATAAGTGAGCATCCAATTCTTTTCTTCGCCGGTCGCGATGACAGCGAACATGGCCCGAGTCGGTCGGTCCGCGCTTACTGCGCTTGATCAGTTATTATCACGCGGTCGAGCTCTGTCTGGGTGGCGAGGTGAGTCCGTCAGCTTGTCTTCTTCATTGTTTTCTTCATTCGTCACCTGCACGAGAAGGTCATTGGTCAGTGGTGCGCTGTACAAGGACCTTCAGTGGCGCTCCGTGACACCTCCCAGACGTGTCGGAGGACAAAAACAAGCGCTACACCCTGTGTAGTCAGCGTGTTGGGAGCGAGGATGACGGCGACGGCGAGGTGCAATCCCTAGAGCTAGCACAAAATTGAATGTAGTACTGTACATCAAAATTCACTATGTTTCCCGTTGCCTTCCTCATGTTTTGTGTGGGTTTCTTTACAGCGAGGTGAGCCAGGAGGTTATAGCAGTGAATCACAATGAATCGTACCGAGAAGGTACCGTGACGAACCGTCATGAAATAAACATCAGGAATGTACCTATAACCTGTTTGAATTTCATGACCTCGGTTCATGACGATACGTCAGGAATCACTGATGAATCTTAAGAAATTCAAAACCATGTGTATTGAATATCGTCAGGAAATCGTTATGAATGTCATGATGGTTTGACCGCACAGTGTCGAACGCCACACAAATGACACTGACGTCACCGCCACAGCACTGCATAACGATCTTGCTCTCGCCCACAACCACCAGAATCGCTCGAGGCTCAACGCGCCATGCTCCTGGCCTAACGAATATACCCTTCAGTTTCCCTTAACGCGTCTTCATTCAACATATCATGACCGTCCACTGCTTCCAACCTCCACGACTAACCGTCCGCCTCTCCCTGGGCCACAAATACCGCCGTTGGTACCTCCTCTTCGCGCATCCCTACCACACCGCCGACAGCCGCGAAATAGCGCGCCTCGACGCCCCAGCCCCGCCTGCACTCAAACGTACCAATTCAGGCTCAACCTCAGGCTGGTCCCCGCGCCCGCGCTTCTGGTTCGACGCATCCGCACGCTCGGGCTGGGAGCAAGGCGGCGAGACTCTACTAGATCTACTGTCTTCGCTAGAACTGCACGAGCAGCCGTTGTTTGCCGTGGTCGACTATGAGCCCGCGGGGGGCGCGAGCATGCGCAAGGTCGAGGTGCTCGTGCCTGAGCACCGGCTCGCCCACTACTGCGAGGGATGCGGGAGTTGGGAAGTTGCCGGCGACGACGCGCTGCGGTGGTTTATGGTACGGTCCGACACGCTCCCGGGGTATCTCTGTCCGCCGGTGAGTCCTTTGCCGCATAATTTCCCTGGGCTTCCCACGCGGCTTACACGCATTTGGTTTAAATTAGTGCCACACGAAAGATTGGATCGGCGCCAGGGCACTTAGATTGCTGAAGGGACTTGTCTACACAGTGTGCTGATTATGATGCCCCACTTTCCGTTTGAATTTTAAGTACAGTGGATGAGATGAACAAGGCGCGTCAACCCTGATTCTTGTCCCAGTTTTCTTCTGTCGTTTCTTCCTTTCTCGATACTCAACTTGGGATGGAAATCCACCCTCACATCGAGTATCCCACTGGTCTGAATTATTCAATCACGGTATCCAGCTTGTTAATGGATCGGAGCAGAGGATAGCAGATATCGGCTCGTGGGCGGTCCACCTTCTCGTCGCGGTATCGACTAATGCAACCACTGGCAGGAGATTTCACGAACCGCCCGTTCGAATCGGCTGCGAGCCATGGTGATGTCTAGTGCAATTGTTTTTCTAGCGGGAGGTTCACAGTGCCGTGAGTGTGGAAAATATCCTGCGAGAGCACCCCGTTCGACTCGGGGTCGAGCTGTAACTCCAAGCGTTGAGTTGCCTTTTTCCGTCCCTTCCTCTGATTCACCAAAGTTAGAGGGTGAAACATCGCTTCAAGGTTCCAAATAAACTTAAGAACAGAGTATAGTTGATATTGGCCCGGTGGTGGACGGTCCACGCTCACATGGACTACCATTATAAGGTGCAGGTATTGTGCGAGAAGACCCCGTTCGACTCGGGTCCGAGCCATGGATCCGGCCCTCGGCTTTTTTTTCGTTCTCCTAACTCAACCAGGGCTGGTGATTCGGAATTCCTTGCTAGTATATTTGCGCACAGAACAGACTAGATATCGGCTCGGTGGTGGACGGTCCACGCTCACATGTATTGGATTGTCCGAAATCAATCATGTGAGACACCCGTTCGAGTCCGGTCCGAGCCGTGGCTCCTTAGATCGTACCTTTCATTTGCCTCGCTTCGGATTCAGCCTGTCGCTTCCATCAAAACTCGTTCGGTAAATTCAAAGACAGACCGGACTAGATAATGGCTCGGTGGTGGAGATGCCACCCTCACATTCATTGATCAAAAATTTTCCCAGTTATGTGGGAGACACCCGTTCAACTTGGGTCCGAGCCATGAACTTAACCATCGATTGCTCTTTTTCGTTCTCGTAACTCAGCCAAGGCTGTTGATTCGGAATTCCTTGCTAGCACATCTATAGAACACAGAACAGACTAGATATCGGCTCGGTGGTGGACGTCCTAGCTCACATCCGTTGAGGTTTTGTGCAGACCAGGATTATGAGAGAGACGCCCGTTCAACTCGGGTCCGAGCCATAGCGAAGGGGTAATGATCCTTTTTCCTTCTCATGTCTCAACCATTTCCTCGCTAGTAAATTCAAAAACAGAACCTGACCCACCTGATAGTTCGGAGAAGACGAGATATTTGCCATATTGTGGAATACTATTACATGGAGTGGATATTGGCTCGGTGGTGGACGGTCTACACTCACATGCGTTGTATATTCAATCGTGTAGCGTACTATGCGAGAGACACCCGTTCGACTCGGGTTCGAGCCATGCTTAGGTCCTTCAAACGTTCGTTTCTTTTGCCCTCGTTTTATAGTTTCCTATGAGATTCAAAGCCTGGGCGTCTTCAACGGCCAAAACCCACAACGGGCTGGGTGTATGCAGGAAGCCTGTGTTCCTGCTTGCAACTTGTGGTCCAACCGACGTGATGCTCATGATGAGGCTCATCTCTACCGCGACACTTGGTGATAAACTTGTAAACAGAACGGAGTAGATGATATCGGCTCGGTGGTGGATGGCCCACACTCACATGCATTGCATATTCAATGGCGTACTATGCGAGAGACGCCCGTTCGACTCGGGTCCAAGCCATAAACTTGACCATTGATTGCTCTTTTTCGTTCTCGTAACTCAACCAAGGCTGCTGAGTCGGAAGTCCTTGCTAGCACATTTAAAAAGCACAGAACAAAGCGAATGTTGGCTCGGTGGTGGACGGTCCACACTCACATCCGTTTACAAAATTGGGTGAGATGGAGAATTATGCGAGAGACACCCGTTCGACTCGGGTCTGAGCCATAGTGCTAACGGAATATTTCTTTTTTCTTCGTCCTGTGATTCAAGCCCCGATGTCGGCCTGAAAGCTTGCCAATAGATTTTGACAGACCGCAGGGAATATCGGCTCGGTCGTGGACGGTCCACAGTCGCACACGGTAGCTGTTTCATGTCGTTTGGTTGTGAAAGCTGCCCGTTCGACTCGGGCCTGAGCCATATTGGGTTAACGTTTGCGTAGGTTTGCGTACTCTTTTTGCTCCTCTTGCATTGACATTTTCTCGCTCTTGAGCCTCGCGATTCGATATTCAACGACTGATATGTAGTTGCGGCGGAAACCGGCGGGGGAAAAAAAAACCCCAAGCTTACTTACGCGAAGGTTCGTGCAGAAAACAGAAGCCAGAAATCAGAATTGAACCAGAAACCAGATCACAGATAACCGATAACAGAACTCGGCGGCCACGCCGTGATCCGCTCGTCAGCCGCATGAAAGTCGTCCACGCGCGCCCACAAGCGCAAGCGATCGACAACGACGACGTCGATCACCGCCGTCACGGCGCTGACGAGGGATAGGTTCCGGTCGTCAGCGTGAAGCTGAGCACAAACCTGGGTATACTGCTGAAGGATTCGAGGAGAAGGGAGAAGGAAGTCGAACGCACAACCCTCCGCCGGCGCGATTTACTTAGATACGTACCTGGTCCAAGCGATAGCTACCAACTGACAATCTTATCTTATCCGCCACGCCGCCGGCGGATGCGGTTACTGATCGACAACAAATTACGACCTTTTACGACAAGGACAGGCCCCACATCTTCTTCTCCACCGAATCGGAACTCGCGCATTCCCCGCCGGCTCTTCGACTCTCACCGTGCAGTTTTGTGGCAGATCTCATGGAAGAACTGACTTGGAGGACGCAGCGACACGAATTGAATGCGTCTGGACAAGGGAGGCATGGCAACACAGCGACCCTGAACAACTATAACCGCATCGCGCAGGAGCGTCCCAAGTTGGGCTTGCGGCACGGTCATCCGACGGTCGATCAGCGCCACGCTTCCTCCCTCCTGATCCCATCTCTGTCTCGTAACCTTCCCCGGCCCCGGGTCCAATGCCTTTTGCCTCTCCCTCTCCCCACAGTCTACGTCCTTACCCCGCCCAGCGCTGATCTGCCCTCGAAACTACGGAGGAAAACCACTACCGGACCAAAAGAGGAACCGGATATAAGGAAGGACAGGAAGAAGATAAGGAAAGGCGGGGAAGAGAAGATGAAACCGACTTCACACACAAGCCGCCACAGCGCCTCGTCCTTCGACCCGCTGAACGCGGGGCTCGCACCGCCGGCGAACGAGAGCGAGGAGGAGCGGGCGGCGCGGCTGGAGGCGGCGCGCGAGGCGACGAGGGTGTCGCGCGCGATCGATGCGGGGCTCGCGGAGACGAAGCGCGCGATGGAGAGGAAGAAGCGCGCGGTCAAGATTTTGTTGTTGGGTGTGTCTTTTTGGCTTCCTCCTCTTTCCTCTTCGTTTGCGCGATCTGAGATATGTATCTGAAGGACAATCGGAATCGGGCAAGGTGCGTTGGTGCGGGACTTTGCGTGTTGTCGAGTTTCTGAAATCTTTTGTTTCGTTTTTGTGGGTAGAGCTCGGTCCTGCGGAGTGCGTGTATTCTCTATCATGTATTATCTACACTTAGACTAACACCATATCACAGATTTCAGGCTCGCATTCACCCCCAAATACTTCGAGAGCGAGCGGCTGGTGTGGAAGACAGTCATCCAGCTCAATCTCATCTCGTGCGTTTCTTCTCCGCTCTCCTCCCTTTCTTATTTCTGCTTCATTCCGACGCGCGCGCCCTTCTTCACAATCGTTTCTCTTTCCCCTCCTTGGTGTCCGACTTATGATTTATCCACCTTGACACCTTATGCACCCTTCCGTGCGCATACGTCCATCTTTATGTGCGCATACATCCATCCTTGCGGCATACATCGTCCTTTCCGTCCTTCCTTTCTCCCCAGGCTTATTTTCCCGCTTCGCCCCCTTTCACGCGCTTATATTGTGCCTCTGGGCGCGTATCGCGCGCATACATCCATCTTTGCGCGCATATATCGTCCTTTCCGTCCTTCCCTCCCCCTTCATCATCTTTATTTCCCCGCTCCACCCTTATTCACGCGCATATATCCTGCTTTGGGGCGCGTATCGCGCGCATATATCGTCCTTCTCGTTCTTCCTCCCCTCCCCATGTTCATTTCCTCGCTCCACCTCTTTCCACGCGCATATATCGTGCCTTCGGGCGCGTATATTTCAACTGCTCCCTTACCTTTGGCGCTGTTCTCGTCCTTCCCGTCCTCCCCATGTTCATTCCCCCGCTCCGCATCTTTTCACGCGCATATATCCTGCCTTGCGGCGCGTATATTCAACTACCTACCTCTCTACCTTTACCTCTCGCGCAATTCTCGCACACAATCATTCTTTCCTCTTTACCATTTCCCCTTTTCTTCGTCTCCTTCTCTCTCACTCCTTCTCTCCTTCCCGTTTTCGTGCTCATCTAACGAACGCCCCGCAGATCTATCAAGAAAATCCTAACAGTCCTCCAAGACGAGTGGGACTCCTGCCCCACCTCTCCTGCCTCCAACTCCGCCTCCACATCGAAGAACAACAGCACCGCCAACAGCCCTATCGAAGGCCCCTCATCCTACGCGTACCACCCGTCTTCATCCGGCCACGGGCACGACTCCCCACCGGCCACTTCGTCGCCCACGCGCTCGCCGGTGTTGGGCGCGCAGGGGACTTTGCCGCCGTCTTCGTTCGCCGCGGGCGCGGGCGCGGACGCTGGGGGAAGCGAGAGCGGGCACGCAAGTGGTAGCGGCGCCGGGGGAAGTAATATCGGAGGGAACGGGAATGGCGGAGGCACGAGCAACGGAAACGGCCTAACAAGCACGCATCGCCGCCTCGCGCTCTCGCTCTCCCCGCTCCTCGCGTTCGAGACGAGTATAAGCCAGGTTATCGCTGCGGAGGGGTTGAATAGCTCGGGGTCGAGTCCGAATAATCCGGGTGCGCGTTCCTCCACTCACCCTTCCGCTTCCCTTTCTTCCTATTCTTCGATGTGAGCTAACACATTAATTCACGCGTCTAGGCGGCGGGTACACCGTAACAGTGCGCCCTGGCGGCGGGTGGAAGGACCGTCTTGCGTCCTTTGCGGGGGTCAAGCACCATACGCACGGGGAGGGGGAGGTGGAGGCGATGGGCGGGATGAAGGCGGCGCATATTTTGACGAGCGGGGCAAGCACGATTAGCGCGGGGAGTGTGGGGAGTGTTGGGAGCGTGGGGTCAACAGGGAGTGTGTTGTCGACGGCGTCTGCGGCTTCGGAGCTTACCACTACGCCTGCGAACGCGAATGTGGAAACAAATACCGACGGTGCGCCTTCTTCTCATCCCCGTCTTACTTCCCTTTCTCCCTTCCCTCTTCCCATTTCATTCTTTTATTAATCGTGGAACAGAACCACAAACACCGACACAAACCCAAGAGCACCCCGACCCCTCGCAAGTGACCACCGTGCTCGCCGCGTGCCGCGCCGAGATCGCGGCGCTGTGGGGCGACCCGGCGGTAAGGAGGTGTCTTGAAGGGAGGGGCGTGTATTTGAGGGATGAGGGGGGGTTGTGAGTTTTTCTTTCTTTTTATCTCTCATTTTCTTCTTCTGCTTCCTTTTCTTGTACGCGGGCGGCTTCAGCGGACGTGCGGGTGTGTAGGCAGATTTGCACTGGGGAGTGCTGGGGGGTGCCTCGCGGGTTGCGCCGGCGGACGTGCGACGTGGCGTCGGCGCGCGCGTTCGGCGGCCTAGGCGTGGGCAACGCGAGGCGAGGCGGGACGCTGGCATCGAGCGCTCCATCGGACGTGTGCGCGTCGTTGTCCTTGTCGCGCCTAGGCTAGGCTATGCAACGGCTGACGTGGGACGTCCTTCGTACACGATGCGACGTGTTTGAATGTGATGGGTGAACGAAAGAACGAAAGAACGCTGATGTTGGTTTTTGACAGCTTCCTGGACGACACGGCGCGCATCGCGGCGCTGGATTATGTGCCGACAGACCGTGAGTTGTTTTTTGTTATCCCCTTCTTTATTCACGCTTCCATTTGTGTTCAACTTTCGCCCTGGTGGGGAGGGACTTTACTCCTGTCTTCCTTCTTTCCCAATTTTCTCTTCAGTTACTTGTTCTCATCGTTTGCTAATCCAACTTTCCACAGGCGACATCATCCGCGCGCGCATCCGCACCCTCGGCGTCGAAGAGCACCGATTCGTCACCGAGTCCGGTACGCGGTCAGTCCCCGCCCTGCGCGTTTACTTTTCTGAACTTTTTTTCTCTTTTCTTTTTCCCTTTTACCTATTTCCGTTACTGGAATTTGGCGCTCGTTGGCCTCACTTTGCGACCTCTTTGGCTACGCCTCACGGTTGGCGTTTCGTTGGCTTGCTTCCTCGTTTGGTCGCGCCTGTTGGACTCGGCTTCGCCTTGCGACTACGTTTGTCGGCTTCCTCGTTTGGTTGCGCGCTCGTTGGACTCGGCTCCGCCTTGCTTGTTGGCCTCGGCTTCGGCTATGCATCACGCCTCCGACCTTCCTCCTCCTCCTCTCATCGCCGACTGCGTACGGATTTTTGACTGTCAGGGTTTAGGGCGGGTACGGAGTTTTACATCACGGATGTGTGTGGGAGCAGTAGTCAGGTGAGTTGTTCGTTACTTCCTTGCTACATCTCCACCTTCCTCTTATCCTCTGATATTGTCGCTCTGGATGCATACGCTGACCACCCTTTTTTTTCTCACAGCGCTCAACATGGGTGATTGAAGCACATCCTTACCCCGGTCTCGATACTTTTACTGACGTTTATCTTTCTACCTCCGTGGACTAGGTTCCATATTTCGACGACGGTGCGTCCCCTCCCTCCCTTTCCCCACCTCCCCCCGCTTGGAGTATCGAAGCTGACGAACGGGTTGGAAATACAGTACAAGCGATCCTCTTTCTCGCGCCGCTCGCGTTCTGGCAGA